AGAGCTCTGGGCTGGGGACAAGGTGGGGATCAGGCACAGCTGGGGCTCCATGGGCTGGGAGGGCTTTTCCAGCCTCAGGGATCCTGGGATTTCTGGCATTTCTGGCTGCTCCAAGCAGCCTCAGGAGCAGCAGAGTCCTGACACTCCCAGCCCAGACACCTTCCCCTCTGAGGGACTCTGAGCAACACCTAACCCAGTTTTTATTCTAACTTCTTTCTCTGGTTCTCCTCCCACTCTGTGCCTCCAGGTGATGTCATTCCCTGAGATCCCTGATGCTCTGAGCAGCTCTCCTAGGGAGCTGCACTTTTCACTTGGGCTTCTTGGCAAGGCTTTCCTTCCAGACAGATTTGTCTGTGTTCCCATCACTTGTGGGAAATGAAATCTTCTGAAGTGGAGAGCAGGAATTAATGTTCCAAACACCTCTGCCCTTACTGACAGCCTTGGGACAGTCCCTGTGCCCTCAGGATTTGGCATCTCCAGGACAGGAGTTCAGAGAGTTTTGGGGTGGTTTGGGTTGGGAGGGGCCTGAAGCCCCTCCAGTGTCACCCCTGCCATGGCAGGGACACCTCCCACTGTCCCAGTGCCCAGCCTGGCCTTGGGCACTGCCAGGGATCAGCTGAGACTAAATTCAGGTTTTTCTTTGTCACTGAGGGACCAGTTTGGAGCTGCCACTGTCAAAGCCCGTCCAAGGGAGCTGTTCCAGCTCTTCCTCCCCCAGTTGGGAATTAACTCTTCCTGATCCTCTCAGGAACAGCAAGGTCTGCACGTGGAATTGGCTGCCAGCAGCGATTCCTGCTCACAGCCCAGACTGATTTCCATGGATCTGAGGCATCTGGGAAGCCCCAGAGCTGTCCCCTGGAGCTGGACATGACACAGCCAAAGAGCCCCAAACAGTCAGAGTCCAGTCCTGGCCATGCCCATGGCAGTGTCCAGCTCTGGGAAAGCACAGCTGGGAACAGCCCAAACCCACCCCTTCCCCTCTGCTCTCTCCAGTGGCTGCTGAGAGGAGCCAGGAGCTGGAAGTGGAGCTGGCCAGGAGAGGAAGGGCTCTCAGAGCTGGGCTCCAGGCACTCCCACCCCCATGGATGTGTCCAGGCACTCCCACCCCCATGGATGTGTCCAGGCACTCCCACCCCCATGGGTGTGTCCAGGCACTCCCACCCCCATGGATGTGTTCAGGCACTCCCACCCCCATGGGTGTGTCCAGGCACTCCCACCCCCATGGGTGTGCTGCTGGGGAACCAAGGGGAAGTCTCTGTGTGCCCTGGGGCTGCCACCAGCACTGCTGGGACAGGGACAGAGCAGAGGGACAGGCAGGGACACACAGCCCTGCCCTCCCTCCGCTCTGAGCCAGCAGCACCAATGTCACCCGGCTGTGGGAATATCAGGGATTGGGAAAGTCCCAGAGCCATCAGCCCCCAACACCTTCCCTGAGCACCTGCAGGAGCTGGGATTCCTCTGCAGGTCAGGAGAGGGGAGGATTAACTATTAACTCATTCTTTAACTATTAGCTAATTTTTCAGCTAATGAATAATTCATTGGACATTGACTCATTCTTCCCTGAGAGAGAAGGGAGGCCCTGCCCAGAGCAGCTGGGGCTGCCCCTGGATCCCTGGCAGTGCCCAAGGACACTGGGGCAGTGGGAGGTGTCCCTGCCATGGCAGGGGTGCCACTGGAGGGGTTTTAAGGTCTCTTCCATCCCAAACCATTCCAGGATTCTGTGATTAACCAGAGACTATTTTATTTTATTTCCGTGCTCCTCAAAGTGTGTTTTAATGACTTCCCTCCAAGTTTTTCATGTCACACATCTGGATCCCATTAGCTGTTTAAAATTAGGATATTTTAAGCTCATGACTGCGCAGTTGAGGGGGGATTTTATATTTTTAGCTCAGCTTGATTTTATTTTGAGCCCAAATGAGTAAAGTGCAGCTTTCAGCTTTTCCATCTGGAGCTGCAGAGGTCAAGCAGATGAACCCATGGCCATGAACACAGCCCTGGAGCAGCTCAGGACAGGCTGTCCCTGGATCCCTGGCAGTGCCCAAGGCCAGGCTGGACACTGGGACAGTGGGAGGTGTCCCTGCCGTGGCAGGGGTGACACTGCCAGCCCATTCCAGGGCTCTGTGGTTCCAATGATCTGATGATTTGCAGGAGGGGCTGACCCCAGGTCCATCTCTCAGCACAGGAGACACCCAGGAGATGCAGGATCTGCAGGAGCACAGTGTGAGCACTGAAGCTCAGTCACAGCCTGCCAGGATCCACAGACCCAGTGTGGGCACAGCTCTGCTCTTCCTCTGCCTCTGGACTCACCCCAGGGATTTTTATTTTCCCCCAAATCCCAGCTGGCCCAGCCTGAGGCCATTCCCTGTCACCCTGTCCCTGTTCCTGGGAGCAGATCTGACCTCCCCAGGTCCGAGGCATCCCTGGATCCATCCTGGGTTTGCTCCTTGCAGCAGCTCCCTGCAGGAATTATCCACTCATCATCCTCCTGAGTGAACTCTCAGGAAATGGATCCTGCTGCTGCCCCTCCTGCCCGGATTCTTCATCTCTGCACTGAGAATTGTGTGAGCAGTGCTTTTGGGTTTGCACATCTGTCCTGGAAAGGGCTCTGAGGTCTCTCCTCTGTGCCAGCATCTTTGTTTTTAAACAATAGCCAAACAGTTTTTAGCAGCCTTTTGTTGAAATTCTAGGGAACTGTGAGGGAACTCTTTTAACAGCAGATTTTCTTTTCTCTTTATTCAATGTCCAGAGAATCCCAGGGAGTTTGGGACCTGCTTTACCTCTCCAGGTGCTGCTCAGACCCTGAACTTTTCCAGCATTTTATTGACCTTCACTTCCCCCCAGAGCAGGAGCCAGATCTGGTTTAGAAACCTTCCCTTCCAAGCAGGGACACAGCCTTTGGGGCCCTCAAAGTGGTGATCCTGTGCTCTGGCACCTTTTCCATGGGCAGGGAATGAGCCATTTCTGCCCCAGACTGTGTCATTTGGCATTTCAGGGGCTGGAATCGCCTCCTCTGTGCTGTGTGTGCCCCCAGATCCTGCTGTTCCCAGGATGTGTTCTCCAGGCACACCGGAGAGCTTTGGGGCTTGGAATTCCTTCTTATCCCGTGTGTTTCACTGGGATGCTGCATTATTCTGGGGAGGTTTCCCTCTCCTTGGGCACTGAGAGGATCCTGCTGGCTGCAGTTAATGAGGAGCTGCCTCCTTATCTCCTGGCTCCTTCCCTGCCTTGTGCTGCTGTGCTGGGAGCTGATTGCTCAGGAAGTGGTTTTTTATTTTTATTAATTGCCATATGTGGGACTCTTGGTTGTGCAGGGCCACCCCACCACCAGACCTTCCTCGTTTGGTTCCCCTGATCCCATGGGGGTTTTGTCACCTCCTGAACTCCTGGCCTGAGACATTCAGGAATTTGCTGACTTCTCTGAATTTTCTCTTTGAGAGAGAGCACCAGGGAGAGCCCAGAGCCCCTCTGGGGTCCAAAGGGGCTCCAGGAGAGCTGGAGAGGGACTGGGGACAAGGGCTGGAGGGCCAGGAGCCAGGGAATGGCTGCCAGGGCCAGAGGGCAGGGCTGGATGGGATTTGGGGCAGGAATTGTTCCTGGCAGGGTGGGCAGGCCCTGGCACAGGGTGCCCAGAGCAGCTGGGGCTGCCCCTGGATCCCTGGCAGTGCCCAAGGCCAGGCTGGACACTGGGACAGTGGGAGGTGACCCCAGATCCCGAGATTTGGGGTGTCCTGTCCCAAGCAGGTTCATTCAAGCGACTCAAGCTGCTGCTGGTGAATTCCCATCCCCAATTAGCTGTTGGTAGTGAGGCTGTCAAAGATGAAATCACCTGGAGCTGGAGGCTGTGCTCCAGGGACTCTGTCTGGCTTGGACTGGACTCGTTCCATGTCTCACCCGCTGGGAATACACTTTAATTTCCTGGGATATCCTGTGTGCTCCCGNCTGGAGCCTTTCCTGCCGAGAGGAGAGGAGAGGAGAGGAGAGGACAGGGACAGGGACAGGGACAGGGACAGGGACAGGGACAGGGGCCAGGCTGGGAACAGCTCCTGGCACAGGTGGGAATCTCCACACCTGCTGGAGCTGCTGCTCCCAGGAGGCTCCTGAGCTGCTCTGACATGGCATGGGCTAGCTGGCATCCTGTGCCTATATTTATATCTATATATGTTTTTATATGTCTGTATTATATATCTATATTATATATATATCTAGATATCTATAGTTAGATTTTAGATTTATATAAATTGATAGATGTATAGAAATATATATTAAATATATATAAAGATATAAAAATATATATATTCCTAACTATATATATATATATATTTATTATATATTATATACAATATATTAATTATTATATATACTACATAATATAATATAATACATATTAGGTAATATATATTATATAATAAATATTTCATATTATACATTATACATTATGTATAATAATATATAATGTATTGTATATAATATATAATATAATATGCATGGTATTATATGTTATAATTTAGATTATATCATATTATATTATATCTTTAATACATATTTCACATATTATACATTATACATTATGTATAATAATATATAAAGTAAAATATATAATATGTAATATGTATAATAATATATAAAGTAAAATATATAATATGTAATATTCATGGTATTATATATAATAATTTATTATTATATTATATTATATTATATTATATTATATTATATTATATTATATTATATTATATTATATTATATTTATTGTATTATATTATATTATATTTATAATATGTATTATAAAAATAATACTGTATATTATTTACATTAATTTATAGCATTATCTATTATTTATATATTGTTATTTATATATTTATTATATTTCTATTCATATTTATTTTATATTTATTTCATTTTCTATTTTATTTTAATTGAATTTCTATTCCATTTCCATCTGTGCTGTGTTCCTGTCGAGGTTTGCCCTGTGTTAAATTGATTTTCCCATGTGCTCTCTGCAGTTTCGTCCCGCCTGGCGCCGGCAGCCCCCGCCCAGCCCGGCTGCCCCTCGCCATCCATCCCTGCCAAGGGCCTCTCCTCCTCTCAGAAACACAGCAAGAAGGCTCTCAAACAGGTCAGTGAATTCTCCTGCCTTTCTCAGTCTCCTTTGGATTCCTTTGGGATCCTCCCTCATGGGGAGCCCTGCCTCTCTCAGTTCTTTAGGTTTGAAGAAAATTCCTGAGCTCGTTAGAATCTTGTTTCTCATGTTTGTTAGAAGGTCATCACAAACCTGGCAGGTCTCTCCAGACTGGCTGCACAATTTAAATCACTGCAGTCTGGTACACTTCTTTCTTCTGATGGTACAAACAAGGCCTTGTGGCTCACTTCGTGTTTGATAGCACAAAATAGCTCTGAACAACTCTTTCTATCTCTCTTCTTAGAAAGCTTTTGACCTTTGAACAAGAGATCAGTTCAATTTTGCCGTGTTTCCATCTCACTGGACACTCCTCCAAGCTCTGGGGGGAGGGGATGCATAGGAACTATTTAATAAAAGGAAAACCCTAACTCCGCACTTTTATCTTTATACTTATTTTACCCAATTAACAATAGACACGTATATTATTTTTCTTAATGACCCAATGACCCATCACCTGTGTGCTGCACTGCAGCATTTTCTGACCAATCACTCACTATCACCCAAAAACCTCCAGGAGAAGATGAAGAAGAAAGAAGAAGGGACAAGAGACAATACCCTAAATCCTCAATCTTGTCTCCTGTTCTTTAAACTAACGTTTTCACCCAATGACTTAAGAAAACTTTCTAATCTACACACTCACACTTTTAGCTTTTTCTATCTAACTTTAACAGTTGTTTTCATGTATCACCATGAAAACATGCTCGTGAATTTCATGTTATATGAAATTCAGTGTTCTTCTGGATCTTAGAACTAAGTATCAGAAACAAGGGCACACACTCTGTGTTTGACTCCAACACCAGCGTTTGAATGGAATGGAATCCCAGGATGCAATCCCAGGGTGGAATCCCAGGGTGGAATCCCAGGATGGAATCCCAGGGTGGAATCCCAGGGTGGAATCCCAGGATGGAATCCCAGGATAGAATCCCAGGATGGAATCCCTGGATGCAATCCCAGGATGCAATCCCAGGATGGAATCTCAGGATGCAATCCCAGGATGCAATCCCAGGATGCAATCCCAGGATGCAATCCCAGGATTGCAATCCCTGGATGGGATCCCAGGATGGAATCCCTGGATGCAATCCCAGGATGGAATCCCAGGATGCAGTCCCAGGATGGAATCTCAGGATGCAATCCCAGGATGCTGTCCCAGAGCTCCTGGGGCTGATGGCAGCAGTGTGCTCTTCAGTTCTTTCCTTCTGCCCCAAAAACCATCTGCACTTCCAAAGTGTTTCTTTTACAGGAAGGCTGTGAAAGAAAATCTGTGAAAATCACTGTGAAAGTCATTTCTCATCCCCAGTTCTCTGATGAGATCCCGTAGCTTCCTGCATTCCCGGGAAATGGGATTGGGAAATTCATTCTTTGGGGGAAAACGCACTGAAACTGCTCCTCTGGTGGGCAGCAGTTCCCTCCCAGGGAATTCCATGGCTGCTGCATGTCCACATGCAGGGAAGGGGAAGGGAAGAGCAGGAATTCCATGGGCAGGGTCTGGAGGAGGAGAGCAGGAATTCCATGGGCAGGGTCTGGAGGAGGAGAGCAGGAATTCCATGGGCAAGGTCTGGAGGAGGAGAACAGGAATTCCATGGGCAGGGTCTGGAGAAGGAAGAAGAAGAGCAGGAATTCCATGGAGAAGGAAGAAGGAGAGCAGGAATTCCATGGAGAAGGAAGAACAGGAATTCCATGGAGAAGGAAGAAGAACAGGAATTCCATGGAGAAGGAAGGACAGGAATTCCATGGAGAAGGAAGGGCAGGGTCTGGAGAAGGAAGAAGGAGAACAGGAATTCCATGGAGAAGGAAGAAGAACAGGAATTCCATGGAGAAGGAAGAAGAACAGGAATTCCATGGAGAAGGAAGAAGGAGAGCAGGAATTCCATGGAGAAGGAAGAAGAACAGGAATTCCATGGAGAAGGAAGGAGAACAGGAATTCCATGGAGAAGGAAGAACAGGAATTCCATGGAGAAGGAAGAAGAACAGGAATTCCATGGAGAAGGAAGGAGAACAGGAATTCCATGGAGAAGGAAGAACAGGAATTCCATGGAGAAGGAAGAAGAACAGGAATTCCATGGAGAAGGAAGAACAGGAATTCCATGGAGAAGGAAGAAGAACAGGAATTCCATGGAGAAGGAAGAAGAACAGGAATTCCATGGAGAAGGAAGAAGGAACAGGAATTCCATGGAGAAGGAGGAAGAACAGGAATTCCATGGAGAAGGAGGAAGAACAGGAATTCCATGGAGAAGGAAGGGCAGGAATTCCATGGAGAAGGAGGAAGAACAGGAATTCCATGGAGAAGGAGGAAGGAGAACAGGAATTCCATGGAGAAGGAAGGACAGGAATTCCATGGAGAAGGAAGAAGAACAGGAATTCCATGGAGAAGGAAGAAGAGCAGGAATTCCATGGAGAAGGAAGAAGAACAGGAATTCCATGGTGAAGGAGGAAGGAGAGCAGGAATTCCATGGAGAAGGAAGAACAGGAATTCCATGGAGAAGGAAGAGCAGGAATTCCATGGAGAAGGAGGAAGAACAGGAATTCCATGGAGAAGGAAGAACAGGAATTCCATGGAGAAGGAAGGAGAACAGGAATTCCAGGGAGAAGGAGGAAGAACAGGAATTCCATGGAGAAGGAAGAAGAACACTCTGTCTCTCCCCTGTCCCGGGTTCTGTGAGCAGGAGTGACTTTTCCATGCCTGCAGTGGATCCTGTTCCCTGTGTGCCCAGCAGGGAGTGGAGCTGTCTGTGCCTCAGCTTTGCTCCTCCTGCCGAGGAATTCCAGCTGAATTATTCCCGAGTGTGGAGTTCCCCTGGCTGCTCTGCTCCGGCTCCTGGGATCCTTGGGAAGGAATTGCTGGATCAGGGCTGGATTTCCTCCCTGGGAGAGGGAAGGTGTGGGAGGAATCATGGATCAGTGTGGTGGGATCACGGGGTGCTCTCCCAGCCCAGCCTGATTCCCTGACACTCGGGATGGGGAAGGGATCTGCAGGGAGGGAGCAGTCGCTGGTTCTGGGCTGTTCCTGAGGGGAGCAGAAGGGAAGAGAAGGATGAACGGGAGCTGAGCTGGTGCCAAGGGAGGTGCCAGCTCCTGGAAATTTTCTCTTCCCTGGGGTTGATTCCCCCACCGGGAGCTCGGTGTGTGCTGGGGCTGGCACTGCATCCAGGCTTTCCTCTGAACTTCCCAGCTCCCACTTCCATCTGGATCCCCAGAAAATTGCTTCCCACTAATTGAGCAGGATATTAATTATCTCTGCATTCCCCAGCCCTCGTTAATCCTGGCTGGCAAACATTCCCCAGCATCCCCACAGGCTCTTCCCTTGCCAGGGGGATTGGGCTGCTCCAGGTGCCCAGGGAAGCCCCAGCCAGGCTGGATGGGGCTTGGAGCAGCCTGGGACAGTGGGAGGTGTCCCTGCCATGGCAGGAACTTATAAAAAGTAGCTAAAAAGAGGAAATTGGGATGGTGGGAAGGAGAGACAGGGCTGGAAAACTCCACACTGTGAGTGAAAGGGGAATTAAAGGAACTCCCGTGGCCTTAATCCTGTCTGTGCCCTGGATTATTGCTGGGGGCTGCTTGGGCTCAGCCCTCCCCTCTCCAGGAATGACAACATTCCCTGAGGGAAGAGGGAGTGGATTCCTGAGGGAGAATCCACCTGCTGCTGGGCTGGGAGTGTGGATGGGGCTCTTCCAGAAACCAGGACTTGGTTCAGCCTGGGCAGTGCAGCTGGGCAGGGCCTGTGCCATGCCCACCTCCCCTGCATTCCTTAAATCCTCTGGAGAAATCCTGACCTGGAGGTTTGCAGGGTCAGAACTGAATTGGCTCATCCTGCTGGAGGTTCCACAATTCCCAGATGGTTTGTTTTGGAAAAGCCCTCAGAGCCCATGGAGTCCAACCCTTGCCAGCACTGCCAGGTCCCACTGGCCACGTCCCCAAGTGCCACATCCACAGGGATTCTGAATCCTGAGGATTTCACGTCCTTTTGGTGCTGAGGGGGTCAGAACACAAGTTAAAGCTCAGGTTCCTCCCCCTGGGAACAGCCCAGCAGTGGATCAGGACACGAGAGTTGTGTCCCCTCCATCCTTGGAGCTTTCCAGACCTGAGGGAGGCCCTGGCTGAGCAGGACTTGGAGACTCCCGAGGTTCTCTCCCACCAGAATTATTCTGTGTCTGTCACAGATCCATGGAATGGTTTTGGTGGGATGGGAGCTGAAAGCTCATCCCATTCCAGGGACTCCTCCCGCTGTCCCAGCTGCTCCAGCCCCATCAGCCTGGCCTTGGGCACTGCCAGGGATCCAGGGGCAGCCCCAGCTGCTCTGGGCACCCTGTGCCAGGGCCTGCCCACCCTGCCAGGGAACAATTCCTGCCCCAAATCCCATCCAGCCCTGCCCTCTGCCACTGGCAGCCATTCCCTGGCTCCTGGCCCTCCAGCCCTTGTCCCCAGTCCCTCCCCAGCTCTCCTGGAGCTCCTCCAGGTCCTGGGAGGTCACAGTTAGGTCACCCCAGAGCCTTCACTTCTTCAGGCTGGACAATCCCAGTTTTCTCAGCCTTTTCCCAGAGGAGAGTGCTCCATCCCCCTGTTGTGACAGGACTCGGTATAATTTCGATTCAAAGAACCCCCAGATGTTTATAACAGAGATCAGGATGACACTGAATTTAAAGATCCATCCAAGGAGCTTCCTCCTCACCTCCAGGAGCTGAGGGGACACAGGGAGCACAGCTGGAATTGTGTTCCCTCAGGCAGGAAAAGCCTGAGGTGACAGAGTGGCATTCAGCTGGGCACAGCAGGCAGTGCCAGCACCTCCCTGGTGCTCTCTGCTCCCTGGGCTTCACCAGCAGCCTCTGAAAGCCTTTCCTGACCTTGCTGCTGCATTTTGCTGATTCTGTGGCTGCCAGAGCTCTTTCTATCTCTCTCCTTAGAAAGCTTTTGACCTCAATAACAAGAGGTGAGTTCAATTTTGCCGTGTTTCCATCTCGCTGAACACTTCTCCAAGCTCTGGGGGAAGGGAATGCATAGGAACTGTTCATTTAAAGGAAAACAGGATCCAAAGGGGGTCCCTTGGATATCCCAGTCTGTCAGTCTGCCTTGCACTCTGACTTTCAGCTGGGCTGTGCCTTCCCCAGGAGCAGCTCCTGCACCTTCCTCCACGGATTCATTCCCTCTCCCAGTTCTGGCTGCATTATTATTGCTGTCCTTGCTATTATTGTTATCATTAATATTATTAATATTATTATTTAGGGCAGGGATGATCCCTAGTTAACAGTGCCCCTCCTTTGTGTCCATGCAGCACAAGACACCCTGTTACTCCTGTTCTGAAATCCCATGGGATCCTTCATCTGTTGCCATTTTTCTGCTGTTGAGGTCAGCTGGGTTTGGATTTTGGTTTTTGCAAACACAACCTTTGGTTTGCAGCTCCACTGAACCCTCCAGTGGGAGCCCCTGGTGCTGCTTTGAGTCTTTCCTGAACCAAAGGTTTTAGTTTTGTTCTGTTCAGCGTTCAGATCTTTGTTACTCTGCTGGTCCCAGCCCTTCCCTGGCGGGCCCTGGGGCGCTGCTCCCTCCAGGAGAAGGGATGAGCTCCAGGGCGCCGCTTTCACCTCACAGCTCCGTGTGCAGTCACTTCTGGAGCCAGCTCCAGCCCCAGGATCCTTTCCCTGCTCCTCTCAGAGACCCTGTCCCTGAGGCAGCACAGGAGGGGATGCCCAGGATGCTCCAGGGAGCTGGAGCTGCTCCAGCAGGGGATTGGTTCGGTCGCGGTGGCGTTCCCGAGCCGGGGCCGTGTCCGCAGGCTCTGGGGGGCTGATCCCGGTGCTCCTGTCCCCACAGGCCCTGAAGCAGCAGCAGCAGAAGCAGCAGCAGCAGCAGCAGAAGCAGCAGCAGCAGCAGCAGCAGCAGTGCCGGGCGGGAATGGCTCCGGGAATGGGGCCGGGAATGGCGCTGCCCTCCAGCCAGCACGTCCTGCTCAAGGCCAAGGGCGCCGCGCCCGGGAAGTCGGGTACGTGAGGACAGGAGTGGGATCTGATCCTGGGACAGGGCTGGGAAACCTCCTGCCTGCAGCTTCCCTGGGGCTCTGCCTCAGGGCTTGGCTCTGGTAGGGATGCACCAGCTCAGGACAGAGCTGGGACACACCTCAGGGGCATCTGGGATAGATCTGACCGTGCCTTTGGCTGGAAAAGCTGCTCCCAGTGCTCAGTGACTTTCCCAGTCACCTGCACCCCATGCAGGAACCTTCTCCTGGTGTTTATGTGTGGGGGTTTCTCCTGGTGTTTCTGTGTGGGGGTTTCTCCTGGTGTTTCTGTGTGGGGGTTCTCCTGGTGTTTATGTTTAGTGATTTCTCCTGGTGTTTATGTTTGGGGGTTTCTCCTGGTGTTTATGTTTAGTGATTTCTCCTGGTGTTTATGTTTGGGGGTTTCTCCTGATGTTTATGTTTAGTGATTTCTCCTGCTATCTATGTTTTCCAATGTGGCTCCTCATCCTGCAGGGTGGGTTCCATGCCCTGTTCTGATCTGGAAGATCCCTGAGGGGTTTCCAGAATTTGTCAGAAATCAGTGAGGTCACTGCTGTGCTCTGGCTGCTGCAGCAGGGCAGGAGCTCCCCTGCCAGCACCAGATTTTCCATGGTATCCCAAATTCTTGGTGGTTATTTCCAGCCAGTTTTCCCTGATCTCTTTCCAGAGTAACTGAGTGCCTTGCCAAGGTGCAGGTTCTGAGCCACAGAACCATCAAATTCCAAAGTGCTTGGGTGGGAAGGGACCCCAGAGCCCCTCCAGTGCCACCCCTGCCATGGCAGGGACACCTCCCCCTGTCTAGGCTGCTCCCAGCCCTGATCCAGATCCCAACAAAACTGCATCTCCAGTCCCAAATCCCAAGGGTTTTTCAGCCATCGAGCTCTCCAGTAAAGCCTGGTGCTGTGGGTAATTAATTAATATTAATTATTGACCCCATCCCAGTCCCAAAACGCCTTCCCTTGCAAGCTGTCAGTCCTTCAGCTGAGGAGCTGTGCTGGGAGCAGGGACAGCTGCCTGTGGAGTCAGGAATTCTGCATCTGCCTCTGGTTATTCCCTGCCAAAGCAGCGGGCACGGGAGCTGGGACTCGGGCAGTCCCTGCTGCCCAGTTCCCTGGCACCTGCTGAATTCTGGCTTGGCTCAGTGTCCCAGACAATCCCTGGCAGGGCTCAGCATCCCCCCCTCAGTCCCTGCAGGCAGTTGGGATGTGGAGCAGGGCCAGCTTGTGCCAGGGAAATTCCCGGTGTTCCCATTCCCGGGGTCAGCATTACAAACATCTGCATTGGCACATCTGGGGAGAACTGTGGGAATGCCCCACGGAAATTCACAGCAGGATTTTCCAGGAGCCTTGAGAAGCTGGGAGTGCCTGGGAGCTGCCCTGGCCCCCAGCCTGTCCCAGGGCAGGATCTGGGATTCATTCCCGGTGAATTCCCTCCTCCCTGCAGTGAGCAGAGACCAGCAGGTCTTGCCATGGAACCCCAGCCTCAGGATGCTTTCCTTAGGCTCAGGCCAGGATCTTTTCCTGCTTCCAGGTGGGATCAGCGAGTTCAGGAGCCCCTCAGGCTGTAAATCCCTCCCTGCCAAGCCTGGAAGGCTCCTCGTGGCTGTGTTTCTCCAGGAAATCCCTTTCCCCATCCCTGAGCTGCTGCACAGGGACAGCTCCCAGCAGGGGCAGCGGCAGGTGTGGGCAGAGAGCAGGAAATGAAATGGGCACGGGGAGGGAACAACGTTTAGTGGAAAGCAAAGGCACAGATTCCACAATTTCAGGGGTTGATTCAGAGCTGGAACAGCTTGTGTGAGGAAGGGAAGGGAGGGAGGGGAGCCAGGACGGGAGACTGAGCGCTGGGAAGAGGAGGAGGAATTCCCCAGGGTGGGCAAGGACAAAAGCTGCAGTAGAGGGAGAAGTTCAGCAAGGACATGAGAGGTGTGGAGAGATTTCCCTGTCAGGAGCTCTGCCAGGAGCTCTGTCAGCCCTGGAAGTGTTCATGGGACCATGCCTGGGCCGGATTAGGTGGGAAATAAATGGGGATTAACTGGGAAATGGATGTGCCTGTCCATGCCTTTGTTTTGGGATGCCCTGGTGGCTCCAAGGGATGTCCCACATTCAGCTGCTGGGCAGGAGGCACTCCAGGAGCACAGGAATGTCTGTCCTGGAATTGCTGGAGCTGCAGGGGTGGCTCTGGGTGTGGGAGACCCTCCATTCCCTGCAGGGATATCCTGGTGCAGGAACCCTCTGTGCATGCCCGTGTTGCAGTGTCTCCCTCTCCTGCAGGCTGGGAAGGGAAGCAGGATGGACATTCCAGCAGCCCCCCAAACTCCACGTCCAGCTCCTCGCCCTCGGTGAAGCTGGAGAACTCCCTGCCAGGGCTGGGCAAGAAACCCTTCCCGAGATCCGACAGGCTCCACGCACGTAAGAGATGGATTTCCCTGCTTTCCCGGGGTTTGGCTGCTCCAGTGCCAGGACAGAAGCCTAAAACAGCAAAAATGGAGTGAAGTGTGCTAATTCCATTGCTGAGGGACCCTGGAAGGTGCTGCCAGCCTGCTGGGAATTGGGATAAATAATTCATAGTGCCATGTTCAGATCAGCCCTTCCCAGGCCTCGTCAGCTGGGCCTCTCCTGGGGATTCCCAGCTCTTGGAGAGCACAAAAGGACCTGCATTATTTATGGGTTTTTAATGTACTTACACGCTCCAATAACATGAAAAAGGAAAAGAAGTTCCTCCCTGGATCTCTGTCCCTCAGACCCCGCTGGATTTGGCTCCCAGGCTTTGCTGGAGCTGGGGCTTGCTCAGCCCTCCCGACCTTCCTGGTTCCTTTTACGTTCTCCAAGGGTGGGATTGACCATGGTGAATTTAAGGATATTCTTACAAAGTCCTGGAATGTCCTGGGGGGGAAGAAACCCACGAGGATCATGGAATCCAGCTCCTGGTGCTGGCCAGGATACCCCAGCAATCCCAGCCTGGCATCCCAGAGTGTCCAAAGGCTCCTGGGGCTCTGGCAGCCTCGGGGCTGGGGCCATTCCCTGGGGAGCCTGGGAACCTCTGGGGAAGAACCTTTCCTGAGATCCAGGTGCTCCCTCCTTCTGAGGTGTCTATCCCAGACTGTCAGTGTGGAAAACAGGCACTTCCAGAGGGCAGGAATCTCCAAAAGAAACCCCCAGCAACAAACTCACCTTAGCTGGAGACCTAAAGCAGCAAATTGCCGTGGCCAGCGGGGGTTGTAGGAAGGCTCCTGCGAGCCCTCCTTGGCAGGGTGGCGAGGGAGGGGGCTG